ATGGCTATCATAAAGAAATCACCCAACAACAAATGTTGGAGAGGCTGTGGGGAAAAAGGAACCCTTCTCCACTGCTGGTGTGAATGTAGTTTGGTGCAACCGTTATGGAAATCAGTATGGAGACTCCTTAGAAAACTTGGACTGGAAATCCCATTTCAACCAGCTATTCTTCTACTCGGAATTTTCCCGGAGGATCTGAAAACATCATATCATGGGGCGATATGTGTGCCTATTTTTATAGCAGCACAATTTGTGATAGCCAAATCTTGGAAACAACCAAGATGCCCATCACCTGAGGAATGGTTGAAAAAGATGTGGTAGTTTTACACAATGGATTATTATTCAGCTATAAAGAATGATAAGCTCAAAGTCTTTATATTGAAATGGATGCCACTTGAGCATATACTCATAAGTGAAATACACCAGACACACATGTGTAAATATCATATAGTCTCCCTTGTATAAGAACTCAAAAGAAGAAATACATATAGAAAGATATAATACAAGTAAAAGGAAAGCAGGATCTCAAGGACTTAACTAATCAAGAGAGGGAAAGGAGAAGAGCTAGGAAACATGAATTAGTCAAGCCATACAGTTATATGTAGCAGATGGGCAACGTAATGATCCTGAGAATCTCCAGAAGATTTTTTAATCTAGCAGTAAATTGGAAAGATTCTCACCTTGACTATCTATATATACTGCTACCTGTGAACTAAGCAACTGCACTGCAGATGGTAATTTGTAATAGTAGTTTCATGCTTGGAGTGCCTGTCTTTCTGGTCTTCTGAATATGGGCTGCTTGTCATGACATGACAGTTGCTGCTATAATGTTTCTCAGGCACATGGTTGTTCAAGAAGAAGGGGGTGGTGAATGAAAGCAAGAGACAGGAAAAGGAATAACGTGGGACTGTCTTGCTTCAAGGTTGTATATGGGGAGATTTTTGGACTTGTGTGTAAACATAAGATGTATATAATTCTTTATGCCTATTTTTAAAATATATTTTAATTTTTAAATTTTTTTATCACATCCTGTAGGGACTTAAAGTTCAACATATCAATACTTGATGAAAAATACCTGTTCCATATTATGCCTAAGATATTTGATATGCAGACAGATAGTGAGGTTAAGCTTAAAAGCCTAAGTTGTAAGCTAATAACAGAAAGCTTGTCTTCTTGATGGTTAACAACCTAAGTTTGCAGACCAAAATTAGAGAAAAAGGAAGACTGCAAGGAAAGCCAACATTTTGGCCCTAGCCTTCTAAGGTCAATTAAGACTCAGGACATATGAGAATACATACTGTAATGTCATGTAACTCAGTAGTGTCCCAAATTTTCTGATCAAGGAGATTTTGGGACCAAAGAGGAAAGTGATTGATGATGTAGAGTGTGCCTAAGTAAAGTCACATGGAGAGAAAACCTTCTCTCAGGCTTTCACAGAGAGCACATTGGCCAAGCAATGGCCGTGACTCATCCACATGGCTGACACTGACAAAGGTTCTACAATCTGAGGTACAGGATCTCAGGATAAATCCTGAGGGGATTTCACTGTCCTTCTCAGACCCAAAAGCTACAACTCTTGTTGCATAGGTCCTGCTTTACCTTGGTCTTAACCATCCAGCAGAAAAGTATAAAAACGAAGTATAAGAAGTAAAGCCATGCTGTTATGTTGAGCTGTAGGGGACTCAGGTCAACGATTTCTGACATTGCCAGTGAAGTGGAAAACCCAATACTATTATGGGCTACTGGACTCTTTTAGAATATTTTACTGAGTTTGCACACCTATAATATTCAAATAACGGAACTTAACAAAATAAGGGGATACAGATGAATGTCCATTTTGTATCTGTGTGTTCAAAATGGTTAGGATAGATATATAGTTACATTCTCTTAAGGAATTGAGTGATTTGTTCTAATGGTGTTTGTAAATAGGATATCAAGTCCTCATCTTGTACAGCAATTGACCACTAGGAAGAATGTATGCAATGTGTGAATTATTGAAACTGTCCTACCAATTTGATTTGAAACTGTCTCATTGCTATTTGTTTATCAATAAAATTATGGGGGAAAAATATACCCATGAAGAACAGATATTTCATAGAGAGGCCTTAGCACTATCGATATAGCTATCTCCTACCAAAGTTCACAAAGAAAATCACAGAAAATGAGATACAAAAAATTTTGAAATAGAAAATGTCAAGATAATGTAGCAACAAATAATCACAAACCTCCAGCTTACTGAGAATAAGTCCAGGAGACACTGACATAGAAGAAATTGGAAGTCACAAACCTGACATTTCTAAAATGATATCAACTGAAGTAAAAAAAAAAATTAAGAGGCTATAGAGGAAATCAGATTATAAGTGATAAGAAATGATGACCATAATGAAAACATTGCAGAACATATCAAAAGGAGACATAGGCAAAAAAGAGAATCTTAGGAAAATGATAGAAATCTTGGATGAACAATATAAGAAAGAATTATAATGTGTGAAACAGATTCAAGAAGTTACCCAAGAAATTAAAAATTCCATGGAAAACTCAGAGAATTGCTTGACCAGCCTCAGCATACACCTTTATGCCTTTAAGACTGCATTGCAGCTAATGATCATGTAAAGAAGATCTCTTAAAAAGAACAAGGAACCAGGAAATAACAATTCCATAGATGCAAGATGATGCAAAGAAAAACAATATGATTGATATGTCTCAGTGAAAAAATAGGAGTTAACATAAATGACATAAAAAGACTATTTGCAGAAGTAGTAGCAGAAAATTTCCCAAGCATGGAAAAATAATGTTATGTAGTTAAGTGAGGCATATAAAACTTCAATTAGCCTTAACCAAAGTAAATCTACACCTCCAGACACATAATAGGATCCCAAAATTGAGCAAAAGAACAGAATATTGAAAGATGTTAGAGAAAACAAACAGATTACCTACAAGGGAAAGCCCATCAGAATCATGGAAGACTTCTCAACACAAACCATCAAGTCAAGAAGAGGTTGGAGTTAAGTATTTCAAGTCCTTAAAGAAAACAATTTGCAACACAAATTGATGTACCTTGCAAAACTATCTTTCAAAATTAATAGAGAAATAAGATACTTCCACAACAAAGGATAATGAAGAGTTTCATGACTACCAAACAAACTTTGCAAAGAGTCCTGAAAGATACACTACAAAGAGATAAAAATGGTCACAATCCCAAGAATAACAACAGAAAGAAGCCACCAAACAAAGCAAGCGATTCAACAGAGGGGGACAGTAGGGAATCAACAGCAGAAAAATAATATAATAAAGATAAGGCAACACATGCCAATTATAACCTTTAATGTAAATGACCTCAATTCAGCAATTAAAAGAAAAAAACTGAGAATGGATCAAAGAACAAAATCTACAATATGCTGCATATAAGAAACCCAATAACAGGACTGGCCAAACAGCTCAGAGGCTTAAAGTGCCTTCTTAGGCAGAGGCAGAGGCCAGGGTCCGATTCTCAGTATGCTGTGCCAGCCCCACTCCAGGGACATGCTGAGACAGCAATTGAGACTGGACATGGTGGTGCGCACCTGTAATCCCAACTCTTTGGGAGGCTGAAAACAGGAGAATCACTAAAAGTCCGGTCTACATAATGAGACCCTGTAACCCTTTACTAAAATACAAAAAAAAGAAAGAAGAAAGAAGAAAGAAAGAAAGAAAGAAAGAAAGAAAGAAAGAAAGAAAGAAAGAAAGAAAGAAGAAAAAGAAAGAAAGAAAGAAAGAAAGAAAGAAAGAAAGAAAGAAAGAGATTAATTTAAAAGGAAATTCTAGATTGAAGTGAAAAGATTGAAAACAATACCCCACATGACACATTCTTCTCAGCTGCATTTGTGATATTCTCTAAAATGGACGATATAAGAGCACACAGAACATGCTTAAGTGAATGCAAAGGAATGAAAATTATCCCATGCATATTATCTGACCATACCACAAAGAAATTGGAAATTATTGACAGAAGAAACCACAAAAACTCTACCAAGAAATGGAAATTAAGCAACACCCTTCTGAACAATCAATGGATCACAGATGAAATTAAAGAAGACATTAAGCAATATCTACAAAAACAAACCAATAATTCAACTACAACTTGCCAGGACCTGTGGGATGCAGTGAAAGCAGTTCTAAGTGGGAAGTTTATAGTGGTGAATTCTCACATCAGGAAAACAGAGCAAACACAATTAAAGAACCTGATGTTGCGCCTCAAGCTTCTAGAAAAAGAAGAGCAAGTCAAGCAGAAGGACCAAAGAAGGCAGGAAATTATAAAGATTAGAACAGAAATTAACGCAATGGAGATGAAGAAGACAATACAGAGTATCAATGAACTTAAGAGTTTGTTTTTCAAAGAATAAATAAAATTGATCAACTTCCAGCCAGCCTTATTTTTTTAATAAAGCAAAGACTCAGATTTGTGCACTGAGGAATGATAAGTGTAAAATAACTACAGATCCTGTGGAAATTCAGAAGAACACCATTACCTACATTAAAACACTTTATTCTCATAGCACGGGGAAAGCAGAAAAAATGGACATATTTCTAGAAACATATGAATTACCAGAGCTGAATCAAAAAGATATACAAATTCTGACTACCACAATGTCAGTCAATGAAATTGAAAATGTAATTAACAACTTACTAATAAAGTAAAGCGCAGGTCATGATGAATTCGCAGCTCAATTCTGGAAGAAATTCAGAGGAGATTTAATGCCAATACTCCTCAGACTGTTTAATGATATAAAAATGGAAGCAATTCTCCCTAACTCAATTCACAATGATAGCAAAACCAGAGAAAGATCCAACCAAAAGGGGAGCTACAAGACAATCTCTATAGTGAACACAGATGCAAAAATTATCAATAAAATGCTATCAAAAGGAATTCAGAAAATCATCAAGATTATACACACTGTCAAGGTGAGATTGATCTCAGAAAAGCAGGGGTGGTTCAATAGATGCAAATCAATAAATGTAACACACCATATCAATCAGAGCCAAAGACAAAAATCACATGATTATAAGAATAGATTCAGAAAAAGCTTTTGACAAAGCTAAAAGCTTATTAATGATTACAAAAAAATTCACAGAAAATTCGAATAGTCTTTACCTCAATCTGATAAAAGTCATCTATTATAATCCAACAGCCAACAACAACAGAGTTTTTACTCTAAAATAAGAAGACAAGAATGTCCACTATCACCATTCCCATGCAATATCTCTCTGGAAACATTAGCCAGAGAAATTAGACCAGAGAGAGAGAGAGAGAGAGAGAGAGAGAGAGAGAGAGAGAGAGAGAGAG